TCCTCGGTTCCCAAGTAGCATCACCTAGGGCTCCACCCTTCCAAATCACCTTCACGAGTCGGATGGTCTTATTGCGTAGTTGTTTGTCCTTAAAGTCCTCAATTCGCTCCGGTTCGGATCTAAAGGTCAAATTCTCCCTCAATTCTACTTCTTCAGGTTCAATAACATGGGAGGGATCCGGGTTGTACTTCTTCAACTGTGATACGTGGAACACATTATGGATACCTGCAATCTGTGGAGGTAATGCAACTCTATATGCAGTAGATCCAATTCGCTCCAAGATCTCATACGGGCCCATAAATCTAGGTGTCAACTTTTTTGCCTTAATGGATCTACCAATGCCTGTCACTGGAGAAACCTTCAAAAATACATGATCTCCTACTTCAAACTCTAACGGCCGTCTCCTCTTATCAGCATAGCTCTTCTGTCGGCTCTGAGCGGTTAGCAATTTTTGCTTAATCATTGCAATCTTCTGGGTGGTCTGCTCTACAATTTCTGGACCAATGATACTCCTCTCACTTAATTCTGTCCAACACAAAGGCGATCTACACTTCCTTCCATACAAGGCCTCATAAGGCGCCATCCCAATACTAGAATGATAGCTGTTATTATAAGCAAATTCAGCTAATGGCAAATGATTATCCCAACTACCTGGTAGTTCAATGGCACAAGCTCTCAACATGTCCTCCAAAGTCTGGATCGTCCTCTCTGTTTGTCCATCTGTTTGGGGGTGGTATGCGGTGCTAAAACTCAGTCTGGTACCCATAGCCTTCTGTAGCGCACCCCAAAAGTTTGAAGTGAACCTTGGGTCACGATCTGACACAATTCTAGAGGGTATACCATGAAGTCTAACTATCTCCTTAATGTATATCTCAGCAAATTTCTCTAATGTAGAGGTAAACTTGATCGCCAAAAAGTGAGCTGATTTGGTGAGTCGGTCTACTATCACCCAAATAGCATCCTTACTCGAGGGTGTTCTTGGCAGTCCAGTGATGAAATCCATAGAAATATCATCCCATTTCCACTTTGGAATATCTAACGGTTGCAGTGTTCCAGCTGGCTTCTGATGTTCTATCTTTATCTTCTGACACGTTAAACATCTAGAAACAAATTCAGTTACATCTTTCTTCATTCCTGGCCACCACCAACCTCGCTTCAAATCATGGTACATTTTAGTTATACCGGGATGAATTGTATATTTGCTCCTATGAGCTTCTTCTAAAAGGATATTCCTCAATCTTGGATCATTAGGTACACAAACTCTACCTTTATACTTCATCACTGTGTCCTCAGAGATGGTAAAATTTGGGGCCTTACCTACCACTATCTCCTTCCTTATATTCCTTAAGTAGTCATCACTCTGCTGTGAGACTCTGAGATCTTCCCAGAATTTGCTCTCAAAGTCTGCTACCTGGAGTGCGGCCATTTGATGTTCAATCACATCTACTGGAACATCATGAAAACTGTTCCATAAATGATATTCATGAACCATCAAATGTGCAGCATGAATAGTCTTTCTACTTAAGGCATCAGCTACCACGTTAGCCTTACCCGGATGGTAATGTAATTCAAAGTCATAATCCTTTAGAAATTCCATCCATCGTCGCTGCCTCATATTAAGCTCTTTTTGATCAAATAAATACTTCAGGCTCTTATGGTCACTGAAGATTTGAAACTTAGATCCATACAAGTAGTGTCTCCATATCTTCAGAGCAAACACAACTGCAGCTAACTCCAAATCATGAGTAGGGTAATTTTCCTCGTGTGGTCTCAACTGTCTGGAGGAATAGGCAACCACTCGGTCATTTTGCATCAAAACACATCCTAAACCCTTTAAAGAAGCATCAGTGTACAGAGTGTACGGCACCACAGGGTCAGGAATAGTCAATACTGGAGTAGTGGTTAACCTCTTTTTCAATTCTTGGAAAGCAGCTTCACATTTGTCAGTCCAAATAAATGGGGCATCCTTCTTAGTCAGCTTAGTTAAGGGCATCGCAATTTGCGAAAATCCCTTAATAAAGCGACGATAATAACCTGCTAAACCTAAAAAGCTTCGTATCTCTGTAACAGATTTTGGCTGTTCCCACTTCATCACTGCATCAATCTTGCTAGGATCCACCGCAACTCCGTCTCTGGACACAACATGGCCCAAAAACTTTACTTCTTGGAGCCAAAATTCACACTTGTTTAATTTGGCATAAAGCTTATGTTCCCTCAAAACTTGCAAGACGATTCTTAAATGTTCACCATGAGCCTCCTCATCCTTTGAATAAATAAGAATGTCATCAATAAACACTACTACAAACTTATCTAAATAGGGTCGAAAGATCCTATTCATGTAATCCATGAATACCGCAGGAGCATTCGTAAGTCCAAACGGCATCACCATGAATTCATAATGCCCATATCTCGTCCGAAATGCTGTCTTAGGTATATCCTCTACTCTTACTCTCAATTGGTGGTACCCTGACCTTAAGTCAATCTTTGAGAAAACTGCGGATCCCACAAGCTGATCCAGCAAATCATCGATTCTCGGAAGTGGATATTTGTTCTTGATGGTTACTTTGTTCAATTGTCTATAATCAATGCACAATCGAAGGCTTCCGGACTGGAGATCCCCCAAGGTGAAACACTCGGTCTGATGAAACCCTTCTCAAGTAGCTCTTCAATTTGCTTTTTCAGTTCCGCTAACTCTGAAGGGGACATCCGATAAGGAGCCTTAGAAATTGGCCCTGTACCGGGTACCAATTCAATTGAGAACTCTACCTCGCGCTTTGGGGGTAAACCGGAGACTTCGTCTGGAAATACATCCATAAATTCTTTGACAATTGGGATATTCTTCACGCCTTCATCAATCTCAGCTTGGATAGAGAAGAAAACCATGTAGGCCTGGCAACCCTTCTTCATACATCTATCAACTTGCGCCGCCGACAAGAAAACATGATCTTGAGTCTCGACTGGGGTCACCGACAAAGAAGATAAAGACACACTCCTCTCTCTACAATCTAGGATAGCACCATTTGCAGCCATCCAATTCATTCCCACAATTACATCCATACCTCTCAGTGGTAGGATAATTAAGTCCATAGTTGTTTTCCTATTTTTAAACTCGACTACTAGGTTAAGGCATGCCTTAGCAGTCCTTACAGATTCTCCCGCAGGAGTAGACACATTCATATCAAAAGGTAAAATACACACAGGCAAATCAAGGTTCTTTACACAAGTTTCAGAAATAAAAGAGTGTGTAGCACCCGAATCAAATAGTGCAACAATATCATGATGAAGGATTTTGATGTTACCTCTAATGGCATCTGGGGAGTTCATGGTGTCCTGAGTAAGAGCAAACACACGACCAGAGACAGTAGGATGTTGGGAAGGGTTCTTCATATTTGAGCCCTGGTTGTCCCCACAAAACTTTGCAATGTGACCGGGTTTCCCACAAATGTAACAGACCCAGCACTGTCCGAAATGACGACGCCCGCATTTAGTGCACTGTTGAGAGCTCGCTGTACTCGGGGCAGGGGTAGATACTGTTGGGCTCCTCTGTGACCCGTGATAACTACTATGATAGCTCCTCTGTCCTTGGCCCCTTTGAAATGGACCCTTCTGCCTTCCTTGGTTCCATGAGCTACTCGAACCCTGATGGTTTTTCTTCATAATGCCTCCGGTGGGTCGAGGGTAGGTTGGGGTCTACTATATGAATAACCCCTCTTCTCTCTCTCAACCTCCTTCTTACTGCGAGCTACTACTTGTAGTTTTATGCACATTTCATCATAATCTCGGATATCTAGATGAGCCAATTGTTCCCTCAATTCTGGTCTAGCCTTCTCCAATAAGCGCTTAGCCTTCCATTCGGAATCATCCCTATACTGCAGGTACGTGGAGTATCTAGATAACTCCTGAAACTTAGCAATGAATGTGTCCTCATCGAGGTTCCCTTGCTTAAAGGCATGGAATTCCGCTTCCTTCTCAGACCTTAACTCTGATGGAAAGTAATGCCTGAATAATTTTTCCTTGAATTCCTCCCAGGTGAGTGTAGAATCATCCCTGGGCCCTGCTGTCTCCCACCAATCTCTTGCTCCTTTCACTAGGAGCACTAATGCTACTTGTACTTTTTGATTGCTGGTGCATGTGACTACTCGAAAGATGGATTCGAGTCTCTTCACCCATTCCTCTACCACGGATGGTTTAAGGTTACCATCAAACGTAGGAGGGTTAAACTTCCTAACAGTTTCCCACACATCAGTAATGGTCGGTGGGGCTCTCTGTTCCTCCTGCCTAATTTCCTTCCTTCTAGACTCATGATCTCTCGGAGTGGCAGGATGTGAGGAACTGCCTTCCCCCACATGACTCTCAACATGAGCCCTATCTCCATTTTCAGTTACCTTTTGCCTCTTTAGCTCCGTCAACTCTTGTTCGTATCCTTGAACCTTGTCTGTTAATGTTTTTACAAGCATTCTTAATTCCGCCAAGTCAGGCTCCTCATTTGGCAGTGGCGGTGGCAGGTGCTCATGTTGGAATCCTGAGTTACCACGAGTAACAGGCATTTTCTCTCCCCTCCTAAAGGATACAAGATATAAATAATAAAATTAGCCTAGCTATATAATGGCCATACAATGAGAAGCACCATAACAATGTATATTGCCAACCGACTATATGCAATGCACCATACATAATAAATACATATTAAATTCACACAAATAATAGTTTCAAACAAAAATTTAAATAAGTGTTACTCAAATAGAGGCTCGAAACATAATGCTCTGATACCAATATGTAACACCCTCAAATTTACAGACCGATTTTTCGCAAATTATTAAAACCATTATCATGGTAGAAAAATTTCTACCACGATACATCCAAGACAATATACCACAGGTCTTAAAATATCTAAAAAAAAACAATTAGAACCATGAGGGACAGACATGATCCTCATAGCATGTTATTCAAATCAGATAATAAATTAAGAGGGACAGACATAATCCTCTTGGTCATATAAATACTTTTAATAAAAAGGATTAGAGTTTACATGCTTCACAAAGAAGATATGTCCTAAGTTGGCACAAGATACATTGTATAATCTAAAATAAGAGGCAACGTAAAAGATGGTGTCTCATACACCACAGTTACACCTCTGGTGCTTTCTCGGCCGGACTCGCTCCTGTAAAAATATTAACCACGGGGAATGAGACTTAAAAGTCCCAGTAACCAAAAATTAATATGTAATGATGCATGCGGATGTAACTAATCATGCGATTGCTAAGTGGGCACACAAAACATTTAACCGAACAATACTTTCAAACAAACCGAACAAGTATTTAATTTGCATGACTGCACCTTATATCCTCCTTTCGCCATGCTCGGACGCCAAATCACCCGGCCCAAGGTGAGTTGGACCAAGCGACACGCCACTCATTGGGTCCAATGAGGGCTTACCACGTGGTAATAATTAATCGAACAGAAATTCCCATTAACACCATACATTAAAATACCCTGACAAGTCATGCATCATTCAAATATCCAAACAGGAATATATCCGAACAATAATATCTCATCATGATAAACAAAAATAAATTTTTAATCCACTTGGCAATAATTTCAAACAAGTATATACAGTATTTATTTTCAATAATTCATAATTTTTCCAAACAACAAAACAACACATAACCATTCACAAACACACTCATCACAACACATTAATAATGGTTACCTTGTGTCTTGAATAACAAGTTCCCCTTCACAACTCCTTTTTCACCACTATCTTTGTCAATATAATCTACATAATTATTTCACAATACTATATATTAATTTTACATTAAAATAAATAAATCTAATTTAAAGAGTTAGAAAGTCTTAAATCTATAGTCCATATTAACACTAATTTAAGATTTATGCCTCATTTAACTTCCCAAATTCTTTTCTAAAATTCTCGTACCCTAATGAACTATTTTTTTTTATCCTCAATTCACTTCTAGTATCACAATTTCATCCTTCTACATTCTAAAAATTCATCCAAAAATAAATTAAAAATTTTAGAATTATCCTGAAGCCTCAAATCACCTTTCTATAACCTCAAAAATACCTATTCATACTTAAATAAATATTTAATAATCATAGGTTTATCCCTACGTCTTAGATTCCACATAAATTCAACCATATAGATCTAGATTTTAACTCAAAAATTCTTAAACATGAGTTTCAACCTCAAGAAAATATTCTATAATATTTATTATATCCCTAAGAATTTTAACCTATATTTTTAATCCATCATATCATCAGATTAACTATCCTATAGAAAAATCCTAATCAAAATATTTACTCTATCCTACAAAATAATCATATCACTAGAAAGCTAATATTATTTAAAAAATAACTATAAAATTAATTTTGTAATTAAATAAATTTTTAAATGCTAATCTAAACAGGAAAGTTAGAACATACCTGAAGAAAAAGAAAATAATCCCCCCTTGTGAGAAAACGCCGAGCAACGTGAGAGGAAGAGAGAAAAATAATATAAAAATGGGATTGTGAGTCCCAAAATTATATTAAAAAAAACTATAGGTTTGAATTTAATTATTCAAATCTTTGGGCCAAAAGTTGTAATTTTCTCTAAATTGCATCTTAGCCTCTCATGCTTCCTAATGCACACACCCCCTCCTTTTTATACATGAAGGCACCTCTTCTCTTCCCTCATCTAACCAATGTGGGACTTAGAAACAACAACCTTCCACCCCCTTTTTTTTGTTCCTTCTACCTTCTCTCTTTTTTTTTTAACACATACATAAAAAAAATTATTTATGTATTATATCTTAACTAAATATTGCTTATGTGGTTTTAAATTTAAATTTTTAAATTCATAATTAAATACCTAACCATAATATTATTTCTAAATAACCTCAAATAATATAAATTTCTATTATTATCATTTTTTTTTCTCAAAACCTAAATTCCACAATTTCTTTATTATATAAAAAATCAGGATGTTACAATGGTTCAATGGTACCAGACTTCGCCTCAACTTCATTAAGGTGGTAGAGGTTGGAGGTTCGAGTCTGGGGAGGTTCCAAAAGACCCTGGAGAGGCAGTGGTGAGGAATAACCACAGTACCACCTGTGGGAAAGTCGGCTTTGGTCCAGTGATGGGCCAGAGTCCAGTACCGAGTCGAGGCCCAAGGGGTGGCTCCGTACTGTTACATAAAAGGCGCCTTTTATGTAACAGCCCTCCTGGGTCACCACTGCCTCTCCAGGGTCTTTTCCCAGGCGCTGGACAACACACATGTCACCACATGTCACTTGACTCAATGGTACCAGACTTCGCCTCAACTTCATTAAGGTGGTAGAGGTTGGAGGTTCGAGTCTGGGGAGGTTCCAAAAGACCCCCGTGAGGGTGGGGTGAGGAATACGCTCAGTACCACCTGGGCTAAAGCCGGCAATCATGTGGTGACATGTGTGTTGTCCAGCGCCTGGGAAAAGACCCTGGAGAGGCAGTGGTGACCCAGGAGGGCTGTTACAAACAACAAATAGTGTAAGTAAGACAAAAGAATGCAACTCTTAGTTGGCAAATATCAAATCAAAATACACATAAAAATTTACTATTAGAGGCCTATAGTAAGATTGACAGATCCTAAGCCTATAGCATTTTTTGCTATCTCGACTTAAGCTAGCTTATGTAAATATTGAAGAGAGATGAGAGTAAAATCACTCAATAATTAAGGTATATCTAATTTATATAAATTCAAGTCAATCAACTATAATTATGCAAGTGGAAAAATAAAACTTCCACATGTTTATACTTTATTTTAAATGTTATCTCTAACCACAATACTAACAATTATTTTGCCTAGCACAATCACAAGTTATATTTCAAATTTGTAATGATTATCAATTTTACACAAGGGACATAAGCCATGTGCCCCTATCAATATTATGCAAGACCACCATAATAACAATCTATGGCCATTTAATGTTATGCTTGATCAAGACAATCCTTATATCCTCTTGATATGCTTGACATGAAACTGTGAGTTATTTCAAGGAATGCATTCATGTGATTGGACTATCTAAGCCTTCTATTTGTGAGAAGCTACTTGGCTAAAGCTACACGATTTTTTCTTAAATATCACACTATAGGGTGTCGTACTCCTAAGCTAGCTTTCTCAATAATAGTAAAACTAAATAGGGTTGCACAATTTATGAAGGTTATGAGAATTCATGAAGAGTCATGTAATTAACGAAAGAGTTATTATAATTCATGATGAGGTTGTGGAGGGGCATAATTAAGTTTCTAGAATTTCATGGGATTTTTCCGTTTGAGTATATACTACGTGTGCGTGTATATTTTGAATGGACACACACATACATTTTGAGGGTATATACGGTACAACAATGCAACTTATTCGTGGAAGAATAGCTAATTGAGAGTTTTATTGGTTCAAGTAAGGAAAATTTAGGCAAACTGTCAACAATTATCATCACTTGTAAGAACCCCATTTGAACATGGAACTTGAACTTGACCCCCAACAAAAAAGCAGTGCCTGAAGTATTAGTAGTTAGCTATTGTTCCAATTACGTTCATCAAACAATCTTCATATTAATTATTATAAATTTCCCGTTAACATCACACAATTAACACGTGTAAGTATGAATGCAACGAACAGTTTGGAACATCATTACAATCATAGTCGTTTCTAAAGTTAAAAATAATATTTTTTTGGAGTATTATATTTTGGAAGTATATAAGTATCATTTAAGTTGTGACTAAAATATTAACTATAATTAAATCCATGATAAAAAAATATAAAAAGAATAGAGAGACAGGTTAACAAAAATGAGGAGGGAGACCGAAGGAGAAAGAAGGACAAATCAAATGAATTATGAATTTGAAAATAGAAAGCGACCCACCCTTTTTTTTCAGGATTAGTTTTCCTACTCATTCTAAGGATGAGTACCAAAGATGAAATTTAGACCATTCAAATTTTAACTTGGACGATCCAAAATTAAATTATTGTTATATATTTTTATATTATATATTAAAATAAAAAATTATAAAAATCATAAAATAATTTTAATAAATTTTTTATTTTTAATCTGGTCTAAATTAAATTTAATTTAGAGGGTCTAACTTAATATTAAAATTTTTATAATTAATTATATTGATTATCCAGATTTACTTTGCATAATTCAGATTAAAAAAATTACTTAATTTGAATTGTGCAAAATACATTTAAATAATTAATATAATTTAATTATAAATATTTTAATATTAAATTAGACCTTCTAAATTAAATCTAAACTAGATTAAAAATAAAAAAATTAATAAAATTATTTTAAAATTTTTATTTTAATAAATATAATATAAAATAATTCTTTAAATTTAGATCATCTAGATTAAAATATAAACGGTTCAGATTTCATTCAAAAATAAGCAAGAAAACTCATCTCCTTCCTAACACTCCCCCTCGTCGACTCCCTTTCCATTCCCTTTCCCTTTTCCATCTTTATTTTTGTTTTTGCATGTAAACCCTGTATCCCATGTCCTTCATACTCTAACTAGTAATTGGAATTGAGCCAAATCGAATTATAAGGACAACAAGCTCTCTTGATGAGTATTTAACTAGTTACATATTCAAGGTTTAAATTTAAGATCTCTGATTAAACTAATAAAGCTTCCAACTAGTTGAGTTATAGGTTGCTCGAATTTATTAGTATAACATTTGAACTACCCGCCCCATTCAAATCTTCCCACACTGTATCCCCAAGTTGTTTATAAATATATATCTCATTCTTCCAGAAATTGTAATTAATCGGCATGTGGCAGATGACAATCAACCGAATGACTACAGTTGATTCATTTTGACCTCACACCACTCTTCTCTCCTGTCTCCCACTTTGCACCTTCCTCTTCCTTGCGATCGTCCAATCTAATCCCATGTCACCTCCACTGACTACAATATGTATACATGCACCTATCCTCTTCCAATTTTTGTCAACATTTTCACATTTTAAAATTTTCTGTCTGTTTAAAAAAAAAAAAACAATACTGCAACTATGGTTTCCTACTACACAACATAACAACTCATCATTTTCTGAATGTTTTGTAACAATTATAAATTTAATACACAGGATGTTCTACAGTCTACACATGTAATAAGGTTTCCTGAAAATGATCATTTTAATTAATACTCCTTAGTTGGTTAGATGTTGTGTTCGCTTAATTAAAGTTTTTGAATACATAGTAGTGTTAAATACTTGTTAAAAAGAGCTTACTGTCTTTGTAATCTAACTCGGCTCCAGCGGGATTAGTGGGGATCCGAAGGGCTCCGATGCACATGCCACAAAAAAAAAAAAAAAAACAATGGTTTGGGGCCGGGTACGGAGTGCAAAAACCTAAATAGATTTGTGGGATATAGAATAATAGAATGAAATGGAGAAATAGTTGTGGAAAGAGGATAGTAAATAATAGAGAAAACGGGGTGGGGACATGGATGTCAAGAAATAAGAGGATGGGGGAGTCTGGCTGTATAAATACCACTCCTACGTCCCCTTTCTCCTCACCCTCTCGCCATATTTCTTCTTCCTCTCTTCCTCTGATCTGCTCCTTCCTCTCTTTACCTATGCACGTGCAGAAGAATCCGTCAAGCTCAGGAGGGATAGCGCCACGGTTGAACCTCACCCTTCCTCTGTGTCGTCGTTCTCCTCCTTGCGCTATCCATCCTGAGTTTCATGGTTTCTTCATGCTCTCTCCCTTTCTTCTTCCTCGTCACATCCTCTAGGTACGTCTCTCCTCTCCTCTCCTCTCCCTTTTATTTCCTTCTAAGCTGCATTAATTATTGCTCTCAGAAGGTTTAGTTTAAGGGGAAGCTTGTGTGTGTAATTAACAGCCCGCGTAATATAATTTTTGCCCTCCGCTTCTGGGGTTTCTCAGAAGTTGAAGACGATTTCACTTTCAGGGGACTGTTCATCCAACAACTGGGCCTGCATATACTGCTTGCACCTTTTTGGAGGAGCTGCTTGGCGTCGTCTTCATTCAGTGAGCAATAAAATAATTGAATAATAAAATGAAAATGGATGGTCGTCACGTGGGTTGATCGGGGAAGAGATATGTGATATACTATCTGTTGAATTGCTTGCTGATTGTTGACTTAGACTGCCCCGAGTCCCAACTTCGTGTACGTCACGCCATGACACTGCGTTTCTCAATTATTTACTTTCCCTCACTTCAACCTCTCCAGCCCCTTCCTTCTCCTCTAACCTTTATTAAACACCAAATCAGATATTGAACTCTTCAATATATATTAAATTGGTTATAAATAAAATATTTTAATTTATCAAGACACTTATGTAATTAACTGAACATTATATTTTGACATGGATCGGATTTCTCATTTCTATACTATACTCACCACAATCAACTTCCTCACTTCACGTTAAAAATCCATGAAGATAAATAATTCATTTTAACAAATTACTCATTAATGAACTGTATTTCATACATGGATGTTTTGCTCCTTCAAGTTATCCTATGCAATACATGGGTGTAAGTCATGTGTTCCATTCTGCATGTATCTGTTACAAATCAATCTGATATTTTCGCAACAGTTCGCTTCTTTTTACTTTAATTTTCTGATGGCATGAGAAAAATATAATAAATTAAAAGATCACGGATTTTATAATTTTTTTATCAACAACAATACAGGTGAGTTGGATTATGGGGCTTGTCAGAACTAAAAGCATGTTTTTAAATTCGAAAGGCATTTATATAGATATTCATAATTTGGCTATGAATAAAGTTTTTATGTTGATAAAGAAATTTAATTTCACGATGTTATAAATTATAAATCAAATTCTTATTGTCCACTAAACTAATTTTTATTGGTAGGATTTTATAAATTTTAAGTATGCGTAACATATACAATTATTATGTGTTTCTATACATATTTGTTCACTGCGTTTATGCAAGGAAATTTTGAACTGTAAGAATTGTGTCTTCTACAAAACCTGAGTAATTATCAAAACCGATGCTCATAAAGATATGGGTGATGCATTGGCGAAAATGAATGAGAAATAATTTAGAGGACAAATGTAATTCTAACAGAAAAATTAATTATACAAAGGCCACATATAACTTGGGCTATAAATGTTTTTGTAGTCCAAATACGATTTTGAACCCTTCCAGTAACAAGTACCAGAGACCAGAGTGAAGACATTATAATGCAAGTCCTATAAGTAAAAGAAAGAGAATCAGACAACTATCATAATAGTCATGAGAAAGCAAATGAGGATTATTTTCCTATTTTTGGGTTACCAATGTCGGCAAGCTATATAGCTTAGTGGAGAATCTGGAGATATTCTGCTCCTTATTTTAAATCTTATTAATTAGGATCTATTAAAAAAAACAAATCTTAATTTAGTTGGAAATGCAGGCTACCGCACATTTATAATTCTAAATTGCTTGTAATTGTCTTCTTCTGGAATCTTCATTCCCATTTAATTATTGCTCTAACTACTGCTTTGGTCAATCAGATCCTTTCAAAGATATCACTATATCACACTTGCCCTTTTTTCCCCCCTACTCCAACCTAATTATTGCAGTATTCTATTTTATTTGTGTATCTCTGATCGATATAGTACTGCCCTGCACTCCAAAATAACTTGTTAAAATTAATTCTCCGTGACTATAAAAGTTCGAACTTGTGTAAGCCATGTACAATACGCCTCTTGAAAATTTCATGATCTTATTTTAAATTTTTTCTAAATTATATTACCAGAAAGATATTAATTTTCGACCATTAATTAAAATCATAAACAAAAACTTTGAATGTTTTTATAATTTATAACTAACGTTGATAGGAGTAGCATTTAAAAAAAAAAAAAAAGTCACCACCACTGATGTGTGATCTTGAACTACTCTATTTCCATTCATGGGACTTTGTAGCCTTTTTCAGATTTGGGAGGAGCGAAGGCGTATCTTTGACTCTATATAATTATAGTTTTTTTTTTTTTTTGCCAAAGCTACATAATTATAGTTTATTGGACGCAGCTTTCATCCATGATATAATTCGTTTTTTTAAAATAAAAATACCTTTGGTTATGAGACAATTTATTATTAGTGCAAGACATGACACTAACAGCATGAAATCACATCACCAAGATCCTTAACTATTACACAAGAGCATAGCCAACAATATATGTACAAGAAAATAATCAATTGATTTTCACAAAAATCTTGAGCAGTGGTCTAAGTGTCTATATATGGATCAAATGAACCCCTTCATAACATTCACTGCAACATAATACAGAGTTTTGTATTACAAGTGCAAATGAGTCTTGTTTGGAAACCAACTAAAATATAAGGTAAGGGGGAGAGGAAAGTTGGGGAGGGGACGAGGCTTGTACAGTGAAGAAGGACAACATTAATAATGGTTTTGGAACTTCATCATTCAATGTCAACAACGGTACTCTTTTGTCACTATAAAATAACGCTAATATACACCTGAACATGGTACCCTCCACAACTTAAGTCCATGTGATCATTTCAGAACTTTAAATATCTTACCATTTTTGTTTTACTCAAGAAACTGTCTCACAAAAGTTTTCGCAAGTTGCAACCCACCATTTCAAATTCAGGTCAAAAAAAAAAAAAAAACCCCACCATTTCAAATAATCAAATAATAGAAAGATAACAGAACGCGGAAAAATTGAAAGCAGCGTCCTATTACAAAATTGATTTAAAAATTAATGATAAGCACGAGTTATTCCCCCACCCCCTCACAATAAGGTGGTATTTTTTGCATATGGTTATCAGAATTAGTTATACTCAAGCATTGTCAAATCTAATTGAGGATAGTTCTTTTAAAGATGTTTTTTTTTTTTTTACTTACACACAAATCTAAACTTACTGATACATCATATTTAGATGATCATAGTTCCTTCCACTAAAACCAAGGCCTCTTCATGAATGAGTATATATTTTATTATCATATTCATTTATTTTAATTATTTGCAATAAATGTTTTTTGGAAAAATCTAAAAAATATATTTTCTCAAGCTAGTTTAGTGCTTTAAATTTTCTTTTTTTTTTAAAAAAGCTTATGAAAACAAAACTGAACCGAAATTATTGAAAAAGCCCCTTTTGGGTAAAAAAAAAAAAACAATCTAAAGCCGAGTGGGTGGAGAATTTTAATTACTATAAAGTACACAATACTATATGAAGCATCTTTATACGAGGATGAGGCGAGGGAGAAGAAAGCCAGGGACCACGTAGTGGAACCCACAAAGAAGAGAAATTCACCAAAAAGTGGACCTACATATATTAAATACAGTGGGCCCAAATGATGAAACAGATGACTGTTAATCTCTGTGCACTAGGATCTGCTGGAGAGTCAGAAGGCCCATTTCTTGGAAAGTTAAAGAGAAGAGTTTCTTCTTTTGGTCCAATCTTGAAGAAAGCTACAAGTCCTCTGTCCACCTTTTCTTCATTCCAATGGACAAGGCCCAGACCTTGCACAGGCCCAATCCAACAAACAACTCTCAAAACAACAAATTGTACTTATGGTTGATAGGGACAAGTGATCAGCAACTCCGTCCCCCTTAAATAAAAACTTGAGTTTTATTCCCCAGCCGAAAAAATAAATTCAGAATTAAATTTAACATAAAGGACAAATACGTAATAAATTAATATCTAAGTTTTTATTAAAAAACATGCTCACATTTACTCATTTAATGCCTGACCGTAACTTAAATAAAATTAATTTTATTGACATTTGTGTGCTATAAAAAAAAAAAGAATCCCAAGTTCAAGCCTTGCCTGTAAATAAAAAAGATACCATATTGGGAGAGCTTTATCTTACATGAAACCTAATCTGATTTGAATTCTGACAAAACAATGCTTTGTCAAAAAAAAAAAGGGAAAAAAATGCAGTTACATCCTCCAAATTAAAACCACTGAACTATAATTTTCTCTGAACTTTCAATAAATTCTTAAAATTTTCTTCGATCATTCAGTAGTCTCATCCTTATGTGTAACATTTGACAAGATGTATTTATTGATGGTTATGTGAGGTGGACTGCTTTTGAAAGATCAAGCTTCTTTGCTGCCTACTCCAATTTGGCTCATAACAAGTGTTTTGTGCATCTAACATAAACTTATATAATTCTAACGTATTATTGAAGGCCGTCTTATCTCCCTATTTCTTGTGCAATCTCACTGTAGGAATAATGCTGTAGAAGAGTGGAGGCAGCAAACTTGATTTCGCATATTGTTGAATAGATGATGATTTGCAAGTATTGAGATTTTTATGTGTAAAAGTATTCTACCATAACTTGTTCGAACGTTGGAGCTAAAATGCAAACAAAATGAAGTTTAACGATTGAAATTGAAGATGAGCCAAGCCTGTATGAGGCAGAAAGTGTTTGCATTGAAAGGGCAATTCAAGTTTCTTAGACTTATAAGGAGCTTGCCCTAAATATGTTGGTAATCTTAATGTGGATTTCTATAGATCATGTTTTGTATAATAAAATCTAGATTTAATTATGGCTGATTATGAGTTTAAAGGCCAACAATTTGATCCCTTAAGTATTGGGTTGAACTAGTAAGTTGAAGCAAGTGCATGATGCTTGGTCAAGCCATTAAGTATGCAGAAGGAGATATCCCCATTTACTACCTCTAGATGCAATACTAATATCCTGTTGACGCAATTCATATCGTGCAACGAGAGTAATTTACTCTCCTACTGTGAGACTTGGAGTTCGCTGCTCTCCTTTGCTTTTGCTTATTTTGCATACTCTAGATTTATCTACTACAAGTTCTTTACATATTATATTCTAATGTTTCTTCTTTGCCTCATAGCCACTCCTTCAGTCCTTCCATCACATGATTTTCTACTAATTATATTTTTAAGTTACCTGTATTGTGAGGCACTATATATAAGCACTTTTTCAATGAAGATTCAAACTTTGGTTCATCATATTATGAAAAATTAGTTCCTTCAATTATATTCAATTCTGTTAATTAATTTTTTACTGACATAAATATGGATTATATGGGTGATTAAAATACCTTTACGAGTTGATTTTTTTGATTTTGGGCTAAAAACAACAAACCAACTATTTTGAATGGCTTTGATGGCCTTGGCCCATTAAAACTTTTGATCAAGCTAAATATAATTCACCTAGAAAGATTTGGTTTTAATCTTCGAAAAAGTTATCCCTAATACTCCAAGATGATCCAATCAAAGTTATATATATAAATCAACTTATCTTGTTGGCAAAAAAAATTCAACTTACCAATGGCCAAATTCAACTGTTGCTAAAGTTGAAAAACTCACCCAAAGCTGCAGAGGGACTTTACACCAAAGAATTAAAAAATAAAGCTTTTACCGGTGTCAGATACTCAGATGTCAAGCACCAAATGCACCCTGGATTTTCCTTTTCTTCCTCTGGACTGAATTAAAAAATCCTATAAATTATAGGGTTAAATAATTAGTTTCACATAATAAAAGGTAAAATTTGTCAAAAACCAAACTGTTATTTTTCTTGGAAGGTTTCTTGGGCTTGTTGAAACCAAACCGTTGAAGTTGGTGATGGGCACTTCAACAACAATCATAATTAGCACCGTTTTGCCATTGACCTGTTGGGTTTGGGTGCAGGCACCTGCCGATTAGTTTCTTTCTGAATTCCTCTCCTCAGCCTAGCAGAGCCTCTAATAAGGTAAAGGTAAAGCTCTCTTTTTCGAACGTACTTTTTGTCATTCTCATCACATCAATATTTTCGATTGTGAATCTGGGATTAGTTTTTCGTGGGGACATTTTTTAAACATAAGCTCTCCTTAGGACGCTGAGAGTTGCACGGTTAATCAAGATATAATTGTGTTTATCTGTTCTTGAAGAACCAATGAGAATGTCCATCTTTCACCCAACTTTCTACCTGTGTGCATCTGCATGCGTGCGTGGTATTTTTTTTTTTTTTTTTGGGTGTTTTGGATCAACTTCAGTGAATAATTAACTCATTCCATTTATTGCCTATTATGTCGACTACTTAATTTTTCTCTTGACAGGTAGCGTTACCTGAGCATCAGTATTAACATGGCCTCCTCTTTCCGAGCATTCTTGAACAGCCCAGTTGGTCCAAAAACAGCCCATTTTTGCGGACCTGTTGCCAATTGGGGATTTGTTGCTGCGGTATGTTTTGCTGCATTCATTATTTATTTTTGCCAAAGAATGTTTTTGTTATACATACCGGCTTACCAGTTCCATAAAGCTGTTTCATTACAGGGGCTGGCAGACATGAACAAACCTCCAGAAATGATCTCCGGCAACATGACAGCAGGTTGAAACTATGTATACTCCTGAGAATTTGGAATTAGACACTTGAGTGGAGTTCCATAGGTGTTTGCTATCAAGCTTTCCAATAATATATGGAGGACATTTGAAGAGCTAAAGATGTAATATCCACTTATTATATATGTTTTTACAAAGAAAATATGATAGCAAATTCCCAATAAGTGCACCTAAGTTCGGTCTGTGTTTGATAAGGCTAAATCTTCCCTCTAGCCCGTGTTGGTGCCACAGCAATGTGTGCATATTCAGCTTTGTTCATGAGATTTGCGTGGATGGTTCAACCACGCAACTATCTGGTGCTCGCTTGTCATGCTTCCAAAGAGACTGTGCAGCTATACCAACTCTCCCGCTGGGCAAAGGGGAACGGGTAAGCAGCTGAGCATGTGATGTGATGTGACTGAGTCAAAACAGCTCTATCTTGTTTAATTTTGTGTCTCTGTTGAAAGATAAAATTATGCTGCAATTTTTAAACTATGCTTGCTATCAAGTTCTTCAATATGATGAGGTCATGAGATGTGAAAGAATTTTGTTGATGAGTCAACCACAGGATACAGTCTAGAAAATTATCCATATACTATATTGCTGTTAAAAAACTTGATGGCATTTCATTATGAGACTTTATGTATACAGTTGTGGTTCTGCTTCCATCTCATCATATCTCGCCGTATTTAGGTACTTGTCAGAGAAGAACGGAGAAGCTGAGTCCAAGTAAATGGATCCTGATTTTGCTGTTGCTATGCACATCTTAGTGAAATAGTCTGACCAGCAGAGTCATGTAAAGCAGCATGTTGCCCTTGATCATTCAAATGCAACAATGATATGGTTATATGCCTTTTCCTGTTGAGTGTATCTTGTATTTTAACTGATTATTCAAAATTCTCTGGTATAAGCTCTGAAATAACTTTGATTGCAGATTTTGTTTAAGAGGCCAGATCTGAACTTAAAGAATTCCAGTGTTGTTTAACTCACCTAACAATGTTATTTTTTTCACAATATATTATATAATAGTCACTCTTTCAAAAAACTATTGGCTTGTTTGACAACTTGTTATAGAAATAGTTTTCTCTTTTCTAAAAAAAAAATCTATTTAATAATGTGTTTTTACAAAGTTTTTTGAAGAAAAAAAATAAAATATTGTTCTAAAGCATAGAAAAACATAAAAAATTTCAAGTGTTTTGGAATTATTGTTTTGATGAACAAGAGAGAACAAAAAGAAATCATTTTTATTATTTTTTTATTTTTAAAACATATTCTATAAAATATCAATTTTTAAAATAATAAAACCAAAACAAACAGACCCTATATCTTAATGCTAGATAGGATTCTTTCAAACGGCATATTATCTTTTGAATAAGTGCATTCTTTAGTTCTGTATACTGATGATTTCTTGCCAATACAGATTAAAATTAAAATTACCATTTTTCTCGTCAACAATAATTTATTTGGCATTTTTTTTAACCTTCAAAAATATTGGAGATGTGAATGTAATGTTAAGAAACAAAGTTATGCTGTCCCACACAATTTCAGAAGCTATTATCTGTTCCAAACACCACTGGACTTTGAATGCAAAATTCTGATCCTTTTAAATCAATATATTGATTAAATTGCTTTGTTTAATGAATGAATCCAAGTTAACTGGCCAAAAAGAAATGAATGAATATGATTAAAGAAAACTTAAGTACCCGTATAATTAATGTAATTTTTTTAAATCAAAGTAGAATAAATTAATTTCAAATCGAACAAGGTCCAAAATATTAATGGCAATAATTAGATATAGGATACATCAAGAATGAAAAAAAAAGTTATTTTCTAATTTGCTTGGGTAATTAGGGATACATAATTGTTTAGTCTAGTTCAATTTGAATTAGAAATAAATTGAATCAAATTAGTTGATATTATAAAATAATGAATTTATTCCTGGTGATCGAATTTGATTTGACCCAAGTTTCAGTCATAATTCACGCCCGTTTACTTTTTATTTAATTCATGATTGTTTTACAAGGTATTGGTTTCCCCAATCATCCATCACCACACAATCAATTAATATACTATATAAAATGAACTCAAACTTAATCATCTATGACTACTACTTATTATTCAATATCTTTTAAATACATGAATCCTGCATTGCATGTTTTTCGTGCCCTGTATTGTTTTAATGTAATATTTAGTTTTACAATGCACGAAACCCACTGCCAACTCTTTATTTTAAAAGTCAAATTGAAAAGAAGTCAAAGAACTAATGTCAATTTATTTTTGCGTGGAATGATTCTTCATTATACTTTGTCAGGCAAAATATATTAGCGGCATATTGATAAAATTTTATATGTAAAAAACTAGTTCAGATCTGTTTCATTCAAATTTCATGTATCTGATTCACTCAATTTGGTCCTGTTTTGAACCCACCACGTAATAATCATATCTCCAACCCCTCTTCTTCACTTCCTTGGCCATCTTCGTTCTCAGATTCAGTCCTTACTTTTGCTCAAGCTAGCTGCCTGTAAGCTTGCTAATAAGGTAAAGCTCTTCTCTGTTAATGTGGATATCGTCATGCTTATCACATCACAGTTTCATCTGACTGTGAACTTGGATTGTGTTTTAACGTTGATTTTCGGTCTATGTGACTGTGTGTGCGTGTACGTATATATTTATCTATATATGCTGCCTGAGTTTTCTGCTCAATGGGATTGTTGGGTCATTTGTTATTAGTTTCCGATTTTTCTTTGTTCCTAGCAATCCACGCAAAGCTGTGTGACTTTGGGCGTATCGCCAACATTTTCTGGTTGTTGAAGCTCAAAAAGTCGTGATTTTTACAGAGTATTTTGCATGGTATGACAGTGAGCTAAATTAGTTAGCCTTGACAGCCGCAGCAGCTAGAGCATCAGCATTAGATAAGAGATGGCCTATTTCCGAGCATTTTGGAACAGTCCTGTTGGTCCAAAAACATCACACTTTTGGGGACCTGTTGCCAATTTTAGATTTGTGGTCGCAGTACGTTTCTCTTCCCTTCACTCCTCACTCGTTCCTTTGTTTGTTTGTTTGTTTTTTTCTTTTAATGAGACCCTTGATGATCAAGTTTGTAAAGCTGTTTGATTATAGGGGGCAGCAGACATGAATAAACCTCCTGAAATGATCTCTGCCAACATGACATCAGGTTGAATATTTTTATATTCTTCAAAATTTGAAACTGGACAAAACTTGTAACTTGCGTGAAAAATTCCTTTCATATTTGCTTTGCTGTTAAGTTTTTGATGATATCATAATATTTTTACTTATGATATTTAACAATCTGTTACTTTTTAAACAAGAGCTCGAAAGTAATTTATTGATGAAGATAATTAATCTGTTGCAGTAATGTGTATATATTCAGTACTGTATATGAGATTTGCGTGGATGGTTCGACCACGCAACTATCTGCTGCTTGCTTGTCATGCTTCCAACGAGACCGTACAACTCTCTCAATTCTACCGCTGGGCAAACGCCAACGGGTAAGCAGCTGAGCTTCTGATTCTTTGTTTCCTAGGAAGCAAAATACTCGCACAGTTTTCAATTTTTTTTTTATATAATATAATGATAGGTGAAAATTATTCATATTTTATATTCAAGGACTTGATAATAAACCAATACGATGTTTGGTGATAACAGCAAATAGTTGTTATCTTACTTCCATGTCTTATTTTGCATCCATAAATATTTTTCTCTCGATAGGTACTTGTCAAGGAAGAAGGATGAAGCTGCCTCTAGGTAAAATTGATGCTGATTTTGAACGTATCAATACAATACTCTTACCAAGGGAACCATGTGGAAATGCGTTTGATCATTAAATTGCAAGAATGATTTGATTGTATGTAATTTTTCCCACATTAACTGGTTATTCATGAATCACAAGTAAGCCGTAAAGTGATTTTCATTGTTGGTTTTGTTTGTGACACTGTTGCCTAATGAATTCACCTGCTGTTAAATAGAATTAACAATTTTTTTCCCACAATGCGCTACAAAATAAGAAGCTTACTAAACAATCAACCCAATATTTGTTAAATTTTACAGTACGATCGATTTATTATATTATCAATAATATATTGTTGCATATTAATAATAAATATTTTATAAATTTTAAATTTTTAATAATAAACTGTTTGTATATCAACATGAGCCAACTGCACTCATAAATTTTCAAAAATTTAGAGATGTATTTTTTGCACACAAGATTTTTCTTGACATAAAACCTATCACCCTTTATAGGAAAATTATGATACGTTACTCATTCTATTGTACGCGACACCAAAATTTGATCCTTTGAAACTTCAGTCAAAACAAAAAAAGACCTGCCATTTACCAAATAAGATTGATATGCGTTTCAAATACTTTCATTTAATGATTGAATTGAATGGAATCAAAATTCTAGACAGTTGTTTATTCGGGTAGCATAGATCATTTGACACTACATATTCCTAGCTATACATGCATGAAAAGATGATGCCTGAAGTTAGGCATATCCGAAACATCGTATATTTCAAATTCAATTACTACTTTGCGACTCCCGCAAGTGCTGGCACGCATACTGTAGCAATATGGGCTTAAATGTTATCAATATGTAGCATTTCTCTCCTATAAAGCAACCTTACGAAGGCAAATACATCAAATTTCAACTAAAGCTGAAGCGGTATTCATTTAACATGGGTGAAAGGAAACGCTGGGAATACAAGGCAATACAAAACATAGATGGCAGCAAATTACATGAATATAATTCGACTGCCCTGCACAATTGCTATTACCCGTTTCAGCCTAACGAGTCCCCAAAGATTTAAAATACAACATCATCAACAATGCCCGAACTGCAAATGCCACATTTCCACAAAAAAGTACTCAGTCACACATGTTTTCAAGTGGATTCCAGAAGAAACCGTCAATGACCCGTGTCAAGCAAAGAGGTCTGTTGTTTATGGTTTGTATTCTCTGCTTTGAACCACACCAAATATAGGATTGTTAACACAAATGATTGGCAATGCCTTCCCATCCAAAATGCATGCACATACAAGTTGAACATTCTATTTCACAAACCATGATTTTTGCAAGAGGTTCATATACAATATGCAAGCACAAGAGAAGGTACAGGGTTATAACATAGTCCGGATAGGAATATGGATTATATTACCCTATAATCATTATATAACCCTGTAATCAATAATGAGTATAGGGTTATAACAGATATTTCACATATCGACTGTTGTACACTGGAATGGAATTACCTTTCTTGGTGCTAACCAAAAGGGGCCTTAGCGGTAGTCAATAAACTAAGAAACTACATATGCAAAACAAAGCATGGTAATTAAACCAAATGCATAAAAAGAAGGGCAATTTATCTTGGCAAAATATGCAAGGGGAGACAAATGATCAACAAGACAACTATGTCCCAAACAAGAAATTCAAGAAAGTTTGTTAACAATTGTAAACTACTAAATATTGACAACAAGGCATGAGTTAGAGAGAAAATTGACACGATCATAGCACAGGTGAAGTGCTTGCATTTGTCTGGTAAAAGAAAATAGAGAAGAAAAGAACAGATAAGAAGGAGAAAATAGAGGTCAGACTTAAATCTGGGTATGTAGTGCTGTTGTGGATATTCTTAACCAGCTGTAAGCTTTTGTATTGTGACTTATTGACTGGAGGATGTTGCATATACCATGCACAAATTTCCTCATGTCAAGCACCAAAGGTGTTGCACGGCACAACATGTTATGGCAATGCACCATGTGTCTGCTGCATGTCATGGCATGGTGTTAACAACTATTTTTGAGTAAAATACAGCAGGTTCATATCATTGCTGATCAGCAGTGTTGTGATGTCCTCATGAAATACAAAGACACACATTTTGGATGAAACTATGCTAAAGAGTTCTATCTCAACAATTATAAATATAAATTTGTGAACATTTAGCACTCAGTACTCGCAAAGCCATTCAACTCTAATCCAAGGTCATGCACTCGTTGTCAATAGACGGACCATGGCTTGTAAATTTAAGAAAAAGTTAACCCCAGGATGCACTTTATTGGCTAGTTGGCACCAGGGAAAAAAAAAAAAACAGGATAAAAACATTGTCAAGGTCAGCTGGATGGGAATACTGTTATTAGTTATCATGTCCCTATTTCATTGTTTTGTCAAAGTGAAATTCAACTAATTGTGCGATTTCAAAAAAAGGCGAAACCAAAATTCAGGGTGACCCTTGAATCCCTAATTGGACTGTCTCAGAAAATACCTGTCGTATAACTTGAACAATAGTCTCGTTAATGCTTTCCATTAACGCAAAAGATATAAGCTCATGAACTATAACATTGCTGACAGACTAAACAGTTTAATCTTCAGCGGTTAAGTTACTCAATCATCAAAGAACATTGTTAAAATTTGAATATTTAAATGCTCAAATACAAAGATATGAAGTTACCTGGTACAAAAAGAAATGGTCGGCAGAAATGATATAGACGGTTATTCTGGGACAGCAGACTTCAAAATTTTGTATCTCAACCTCCTATTATGGTTTTCCTGTTAGATGATAAAGAAAAACAACCACAAGTTAGTTGGTTGCTGCATCATGTTTTACAGATTTTTGATTAGACCCAACCAATATCAAGAAATGGAGATGTGTAAATCTTGATGTATTCCGTACTAAGAAATTCTTTGCTATCCACATGCGGGATTACAATTTTTGAATCCCACATTACAAAAATATAATGAAGTAAAAGGCACAAGTGATTATATCCCTAAAACAATAAAACCAACAATTGAATGTATTAGGTCAGGTATTATAACGAGGAAACCCGTATTCAATTCGCACCATCTAAAACCCAGAGCATTTGGAACATCTTCTGCAGTAACAATAAAATTCACCTGCTCAAGAACCTTAGCAGAACTGCTTTCTACTTGTCTGGCCAAATTTTCAATTTTAACGAGCATTTTCTCATACAAATCCTCCAGGCCAGACGTATAACTCGTTGCTTCTGGCCCCACCAACCGACTCAAGCTCCGAACATCAAACCCCCCAGCACACGCATCCATCTCTCTCTGATCCTTAGAAACCTTCTTCATTTGATTCAAACTCCTCTCATCCCAGTCCTCATTCATAGGCGAGTTCCGAAAATCGCAAGCCAATGATGGGAAGGGAGCATTAGGGCTAAACGAACCATAATGCCCGCGAAAAGCAGGCCCAATGTTAACAATATCCATCGATATAGGGTGGAAAGACTCGGTAACTCTGCGAAATTGGTAAGCGCGGTACTCATGAGTATGGATGGATTGGTCCGATAAAGGCGATGCCAATAGTAAAAACACACAAGGGTTAAAATTGGGAGATCCTGGAGCATTCTTGACAGGAAAAGAAAACTGCGTCATGGAAGAAAGAGAGGCGGTGACGGCGAATTCCCGCATTGATGGGCGGATATGGGTCTTCCGGCGACCAGAGAACCAACCGATGAGGGAGGGGTGGTGGTCGAGGACTGGGTCGCTAAGAAGGCGGCGAAGTGAGGGAAGTTCGACGGCACCAGTGGAGTCATAGAAGCTATTGATGGTACCGGAGCAGAGAAAACCGGTGATGGTGGCGACAAGAGTGGAGGATTCCGAGGCGGAGTCGTCGGAGAGTGTGGAAGGGGTGACGTAGGTGACGTGGCCGAAGAGGAGGCCGTCAACGGCGCCGGGGGAGTTGGAGAAACGTTGGATGACGGAGGCTAAGGTAGGGCCAGAGATTGCAATCTTGTGGAAAGGAAGGTCATCCATGTCGGCGCCAAGAGAAGATCAGGGAGCCACACCTACAGATGTCTCTCGTGAAACAACGCAGTGTCGCACCGCATTCCGCTGCGGCCAAAATTTTGGGACAATCAAGGAACTGAGTCTTGAATTACAGCGACGCTGCCTCTAATAATTTCCTTCCTTCTTTCTTTTTTCTTGAAATTCGCTCTAATAATTTTGTTTATGTTAATAATAATAATTTAAGAGTTCACGTGAGTTACGTCTAGGAATTTAACAGGGCTCGGACATGAGTGATAAAATTCGAACCTATGTCCTAAAGTCATGGGCCAAGTCTTTTTGTCAATTGAAATTGAAATATTGAACCAGTCTTTATTAACATTTTAAATTTAAATTTATTATTATCAGACTCTTGATTCTTAATGCAAATTGCATTATTCTAAATATATAATAAATAATCATTTCCTTCAGTTAGATTTAATAGACTTAATTATTAATAATCAATGGTTAAAAGATTATTAAAGGACAGATAAAATTCAAATGATTTAATTGAATTTTTTTTTTTTAGCAACTTGACTTTATTTAGCTGCAATTTTTGTAAATGAACAATAGAGAATTTCAGGTAAAAGAAAACCAATAGAAAGTACTGATTAATATTTAATAATGTATTATGCTATTTTAACCATAACTTTTTTTTTATACTCAACGAGTTGTACTATTTAAACTTCTCTATATGTATACATACTATATAAATGTGTGTGTGTGTGTGTGAAAACTTTATGACTTGGGAGTAGCTTTCTTCCTTTTTTTTTTTTTTTCCCCTGTTACTCACATGTATCTTTTCAACGAAAATTCAAATATCCATCCATTGTATTATAAGAGTTTAGCATTTTCCATTAGATTCAAGCCTGTTAGCTAGATTCTTTCCTACTTTCCTGTTCCTAGTTGTCGTCCAGTTCTCATGATGATTGGTTTTCTTCCCCTTTTCACTTTCTCTCTCCTCCATTCACGTCCTTTGTCCTCCAATGCTCACTGAACCAGTCCCCCCCTTCTCCCCCTCCCCCTTCTCAATGAGTATTTTCAATCTTCTTCTGTCACCACTGGCAACTCCCTCAGCATCTCTCTGTAGTTCCCATAAAATAGAGCGTCCACCTTCTGCTTCGTCTCATCTTTCTCACATTAATATACCTTCTTGAGAACTTGTTTTGAGATGAGCCACCATCAAAAACTTACAAGACCATTCATTTCATTTTAAAATGAACGATGGTGGCGGAGAGAGGGTAGTTGCCACGCTGAGCCAAAATTGACATGGGTTATTCTCGAAGCATTTTTTTTGTCAAAGTAGAATGGAGGGAGGAGAGAGAGAGTGAAGATCGAGATGGTCATTGGTAATACCTTCACCTTCAACTTCTCTTTGGAGCTTCCTTCGCACGGTAGTCATGATAATGAAAATGCACAAATAGGCTGCATCATGCATGGACTCGAGAGAGGGAGAGCGAGGTGAGAGAAAATAGATGAATGGAGCAGAGAAAGAGAGAATTTTTATATTATAAAATATATTAAAAAAGTGAAACCAACTAAATAATATTTTATAATAAAAATATTTAAATATTCAAATGTGGGCGGAAAAAATGAACAAATGAATGGCAAGGTAATAGAATAAAAAAATATTTAAAATTAAGGGATATAAATAACCTATAGTTAAATTTAAAATTATTTGTAACCTTTTATGTATAGTTTAGAGACAAAATTGATTCTTCACCTAATAATATAAATATGATATTAGCAATGGGCATTTGTATGAGTTGGAAAGGGGCATTGCTTAGGGCAAAAGTTTAAACCTTGAGGAGTGACAAATGTGATAATTAAAGCAGCTTTAAAAAGGTCATCCCATCGATACTCGTAACTACTGTAAGGTCTCTAATACAGGGGTTCGGATTAATTTGGGGTAGGCAATGAACTTAAGATATCACAAGATATTGGTACAATCTAGTACCCAAAAATATATATAATACTCACTATTCACGTTTGAATATACTCGTGCAAGTATTCATTATTGTCTAGAATGGATAATTTCTTATTTTTAGTTTTTAATCATTAATTAAATACTTGTTTCATATATTATTTTTGAAAAAAAAATTGCACAGCTCATTAACTTACCTCTGATGTGTTATTCTATCAATTTTATGTTTTAAGACACAATGGAAATCTAAATAATGAATATATACATATATATAAATATATAATGTTGTTTATGATTTAAAAGCAACACACTGGCGAGGAAAAAAAAAAGAAAAGAAAAGTAACACAGTTTGTCAATATATAACAAAATCCTGTTCTGGTTTATAAGACCATGAACCGTTACAAAGCTATTATTTGAGCACTAAACACAGATTGAGGTCGAAAATATTAAGAATATTATAGTGGGGAATACATAGTAAGGGCAAACTTATTTCACTGTGAAGCGATATCAAGTACTATCGTGGTGATAAGCATGAAAGCTATTATGGTCCTGTTTAACTAACAAAAAAGTTAAAAGCTTCATGGATGACTTGATTATGAAGATACCTTGGGCCAAGTTAATTGATAGACTGCCTTAAATAAATATACATAGCATAAATTTTGGCCAGAATAGACTGCCTTATATAAAACCAATAGATCTATAGTAATATCATCCACACCTGGAAAGTAGTACAAGAGCAGCTCAAGTGTTTGAGCAAATAGCCATATTGATCTCCTTAGAAATCAGAAATGATGTCAGTGAAAGCAAAATGGATTACCCTGGCCTCGTGAACAATCGGAGCCTGACATCGCAAAGGGTTCTAATGCAGAGGTCAGGCTATCAGCAAATTTGACGATAACCAAATGAAGAATTAACCAGCCTTTGGCTAATCCTGGACTGGACTTTGATTCGCTCAGAGATCATATCTCCTCTCTGTTCCCAAGTTTTCTTCTTCCAATTTCATCTTTTCAACGACGTTTTTTGTTCAGTTTGAAGTTTGATCGCCATGGCTTTTTTATTTTCTTCGATTAGACCAAAAACGAAAGTAAAAAGCATAGGGACTATACCAACGAAATTCTCAAAAACCATACAATGCTTCTCCTGTTCTTTAATTTGAAAACCAGAGGTTTTTCCTTGGGAGAATAACACTTAAGCCCTTTCAAAAAAATTTATCATAATAAAGCCTATAAATATTGCATCTAATCGAATATTATTTAAAACATATACGTGTTATTGTTAAAAATTGAATCTTTTAACTTATTAAATTTTTAAGAAAATACAAAATATATATATATATACAAGTTAAAAGAAATAATACCGACGATGAATTCTTTTCCTTTATGTAATCCAGAATCTACAATGATCAGTCAAACAACACAATGAATAAACCTATAAAAGAAACATCACATAGAAGAGATACAAATCCTACACAAAACAAAAGCAAAATCAAGAGACATCAAATCCATACAGATCGCATGCTTTTCCCCGATGTGCTTGTATAACATATAAAAACATTGACATCGGAAAAAAAAAATTATTCTGCACTTAATTCTCTTTCAAAACATCAACTGAAAAATCAAGTTAAAGTTCCTGTACACCCAATCTATCGTGAGGGGGCCGGAGATGTGGCGGTGGCGACAATAGCAGCGTTAACTGCGGCGGCTCCACGAACAAAGGAGACATACCCATTGGGCTTGGAGTTGTCTTGTGCTTCCATGAACATATCTTCTGGCATCCTCAAGGCGCCATGAACACAAACAAAGGCCACACCTACCATCGCTGAAGACACTAGAACCGACCCGACACTGGTTAGAAACACGACACACAGGGTCAAACCACAGAGAAGGACCAAGGTTTCAAAATCGGTGAAGATTCGACCGAAAAGGACCAAAGGCTGATCGGCGGGTCGGAAGAAATAGAGGAAGACCCAAGCGGCGAGAAGACCAAAGAGGATGACGAGGGAGATAGGATTGGTGAGGAGAGAAACGGCGAGAGCGAGAGCGCCGATGGCGTAGTAATTGACGCGGAAGTAGGAGAAGTTCTTGCGGATGCGGAAGGTGGCTTCGGATAAGTTCTCGGGTTTAGAGAATGCGGTACGGTCGAGGAGTTCGGCCCATGGACGGCGCTGGGAGAGGCTGTGGCGGAGGGAATCGGAGGCTTTGGAGATGAAGGCACGTAGTGGGGGCTGAACTTCATTGACGGGGGCGTCGGCGGCAGCGCCTGCGGATTTGGTACTGGTAATAGGGAGGACTGGTGTGGCTGGAGAGGCCATTTTGGATGGGAATGAATTGAAAGGGAGAGAGAAAAGGAAAAAAAATATGTAATGGGAATGAAGAAGAGAAAGTGAGGGTTGAGAAAATGGTATGTAATGGGAGAGGGAGAGAGGAAAGAGGAATGGGGATTGGAAGGTAAGGGTTTGATGTGAGAATTTAGAAAGCGAAGGAAAGCGCAAAGAGATAACAGCAAAACACCGTTTCGAGCGAGACGCTCGTGATCGCTTCGCTACTGTTCCATCCTCCCTGTGACTTCTCACACTATTTTTAAGGTTTTTTTTTTCATAATATTTAATTTCGGATTTTCTAATTTCAAACAGAATATAGTTAAAATCCGTTCGTGATTCTGCATTTTTTCAGATAAATTATTAGTTTATTATTAAGCTCTACTCACGCTATTGGTTCTTTTCTTTTTTGGCCATTTCTCACGCTTTTGTTTCAATACCAATTTTTCATTTCAATCCTTTAATTATTCGTTTTACTGATTGTTGTTGAACTTGCTCAAGTGTTTTCTTTAAACAACATTGAGTTCCTTGGTTTCTTGGAATTGAACATCTGCATGAAACATTGAAACGTGAAATCTGCATGTTTCGATGCGAAAGCAGCATCAGCTGGTTATGTCTGCCATTCCTTTTCTCTAACACCCTCTGCGTTGAGACTTGAGATATGTGTCTGGGAATCTCTTTCTTTTTAGACCGAGATAAAATCTCTTGCCGAAATAGTAATTCCATAATAAAATTAATAGGAAGAAGCCCACTAATTTATATCTTCAACACATGCACCAAGCTGTTAAGTCCACCAACTTGACTACCTACTAGTTATGATGATTCCTTTTTCATTAAGCTCCAACGAAACCACAACTAATACCTTAAAACATGACGACCATTATCTTCCATGTTTTGCGCCTTCGCCTGGACTCACCACCATGCTAGAACCAATTCAATCCACCGCTGAAATCCTGCAACAAATAAAATAATTAGCTTCTCTTACCATGGATCGTGCAATACCAAACGTCCAACCTAGTGCCTTATGTTCATTTAACTGCATGAAGTTTGCTGTATTGATAAGAGGATTAAGATCTCCAATGGCCACCTATTTACCATAGGCAGCATCTTTACTCCCACCCAGTGTCAAACACAGTATCCATCTTCTCTCTTTCGTCCTCCTCCACTTTACTCTCCGCAACTTGATCCTTTCCACTCATTTTCTGCCTATTTAAGTAAGCCAGTAATAGTATCAAGATGAATATTGACTTCTTTCTTATCTGGCCTTCAATGGTTAATTAGAGCACTTCTTCTTTTCATTATCCTCTCCTCTTTTTTTTTTTTAATGTCAAAAATGGGTCGTTACAAAAATGTTTGTCACAAGACAAGAAAGTTCATCGTCCCTCGGGGGCTTGCTTCCAGAAGACAGCATCAGCTTCAGCATTGTGGCTTCTTTGCACCAAAGTGTCGGCCACCCCTTACCTTAACAGTAACTCTGCTTGAGTATAAAAACCCGAATGTCCATACTCAGTCAGCATCTGCCTAATCTATTTTCATTCTTTGATGGAGTTTCATCTTAAGCTATCCATCACATGTTTCCCATTTTAAGCCAATTATTTGTGGTTTGTCTTCAAAGAAAATATTAGAAATCAATAAAATGTTTTGTAATATATTTCAGTCTTAAAAAAGGAAGGAAATTAAAACAATGCATTATCGTTAATCTTTCTTCTCCTTGAATCACCATAACTTCATGACTATTACCCTATAAAAGTGAACGCTTCACGTCATTTGCGTGCACAAAATGTCGAAAATGTGAGGCTCAAATTTCAAACACGTTAAGAAGACGAAGAAGAACCAAAGCATTGAAAGAAAAGAGCAACTAGTAAACTCTTTCTTTGCATTTTTTCACTCTATACTTGCAGCATTCATATCAAGTATATCACAACCATCAGTAGATAAAGATCAAAATCAATATGTAATATTAAATTTATAAAAAAAAGTCGCAACCAATATTCATGAGTTAGTGCAAATCACACTGATTACTTATTCCCAAGTAATTAACATTTTATTATCTTCATTTTTCCCATACTTCCCCACCCAGCCACCGCTCATTAATTATCAAAAAGTCGGAGTACTTAAGACATGACATCAATATACAACCAGCGAATCTATCCAACACTAGATGCCCCACAGGCGATCGAAGTAAAACGGAATTTGAATGTAGATCCATTCCAACCAAAGTCGGAACCCTGCATAACAAAGAAAGCACCACCAAGCAGTAAAGAAACCAGTCAGCATTAAATGAACAGAACTGCAGACATTATTGAGATGTATAATCAATATTGCATGGATTTAAGTTGGATTATCAACAAGGGAGATTTTTTTAGCAGATGAAGTTCATGATGGATAAGTATGCATGTCAAGGAACTTCCCACATCATCTCTTTTATATTTGGTTGTCTATTCATGATTGACTTAATCTATCTCTTTTAAAGAAAGAGCACTTTGAGTCAACTACTTACAAGGTATAGGACTTCAGCTCCACATTATAAGAATGAGATTTAAATGTGGGGCTTACATGAATAATTGGTTATCCAATCTCATAATCTACTCTATTGGGCAAAATCAAAGATCTCACAGTCTAAATTTTGGTGTAGGGCTCTACCAAAGTTTTGATGATATCAAAGCCTTTTATATCTATCCATCTTTTCTCTTTCCTTCTCACCGCTGTTTCACACAGAACTATGGATTCTAAATTAGAATATGAAATATAATGGGACTGCCCTTGTTAGTTAATTTTTGAGTCTTGCCTCTCCCAAAAGGGTTTATAACCAGGTCGACGTAAGATGTGTGTTGTTAAGAAAAATAAAAAGGAGCCATACTAAGTGATCTATTGCTGGAGAAAAGCATGAAAACACTTCATACTCTTGACTCCTATTTACCTAAACAAAGAGGAAGAATGAAATAAGGAAACAGCACAGAGCAATTCCTCCTATCTTTAAGGACAGCTTGAAGTTATAGCTAAACTTGCCTTAGAGTCGTAGAATTTCAAGAACAACCGTGACTTGGGAACAGACAACTTGGTTTCAAGTATTGAGGAAATTGCAGCACTAGCCTTCTTGTTCACGTCAGGGCTAAGACCACCAATGGACACCAGTTCACCACAAGCAGCTGGCTGTTCAGTCCCACTAAAAGATATGGGACAGATCCTTTCACGACAATTATTACATACTGCACTAAGAGAAAAGCAGAACCTAAAGGGTTTAGGACACTAAAAAAAAACAGAGAGAGAGAGAGAACAAGATATAGTCATGTAAGAAAAATAGAAACAATATTCACCCAACAAGAAACAACCAATTTTTTATTCGAGTACATCACGTTTCTGGCATCATTTCAGACGCATTCTTCAAGCACACTAAAAAAATTATCAGTTTGACAAAGTAGAAATTCGGTAAGATCATTATCATCAGTAAACTGCCACAGATAGATGACCTAAATTTAAACTATAAGTGCGTCTCAAGAATTCAGAAACATAACTTGAAATTAAACAAAAAAAAAATTACTTTAAAGTTCCTTGTAGCTTCGATGCCTCCAGGGTAGTAATACTAACATGACAAACTTTGTAGTGTTTGATCAAAGAATTTACAACTTCATAAAAAGCATGGTGAAAATTTTCGGATGTGAAATTGTAGAACCTTCAAGAAATATATGACATACCAAAAATTCAGCAGAACAGAAAGAAACTTCGTTAAATTATCAAGAGTCCTTGAAATACACTGAAATTGGACCAATTTACAACATAACAAGAATTCCCTTAAGTCTTATGAGAATAACTAGACAAAAACTCTGGTTTCAGGTGGCTGTATAATCTCTCATGAAGGGGTGATTCCTATCAAACCAAATTAATAATTACCACTTATTAAAATGAGAAATCAGATAGCTAAACATCTATCCTCGCAGAAGCAGCGAACATAATGTACCAATTTAGTGATTCACGAACTTCCAGCATGAGTAGATAGCAAGAACCAAAACTCCAAAACCATGCTTGGAAAGACGGAAGAAAGAAAGAAAGATCATCAAAGAAAGGTAAAGTCAGATAGGACAATTGCGAGAAAAACAAAGGCAAGCATATAAAACATGGAAGAATCAGGATGGAAGTCAGTAGAGGAATTAAGGATGATCGTACGGCCTCAGGCTTGCCGATAAGCTTGGCCACAGTGGAGGTGGCTTTTGAGAGAATGAAGGAGGTGTCGACGCTGTCGAGGCTGACGTTAGTGGGGAGGTTCAAGCACGGCATCTTTCTTCACTCGTTCCCCTTTAGCAGCTTGTAGCCTTGTACAATTGACAATGGCGTAAAACCAACTCTACTGTAATCAATCTCCTTTATAATCAGCATCATAATCTCTCCCCCATAAAGGTCAATGTGAAGGAATATTAAAGATAAATAATAAACCAAGTGTGAGTCTTAGTTTTATTAGATTTAAGCATAGTTTACCCAACTACTCAGGCGAGTTTAGATTATTAGAGTTTAAACTAAATTGCATAATAGATACACCAAAGAGAGAAAGGAAGAATGAGGAGAATTATTTGCTATGGTATGTGCTCTTCCTTTAGCTAACATTATCTATAGTAAAGGCAGGCCATAGTGAAAAAAGAAAACTCAATCCACATTAAATCACCTCATTATAAAGGAAATAAATGATTGAAATAATTAACATAATTGTGGAGAAATATTTCTTATTTTAGAATTCAATTAGAATTCAATCACTATTAATTTCATATTCTGGTCAATTTATTATTATCGAAATATTTTCAGATCCACTAATTGCTCTAACATAATGATCTAATTTCCATCATTTGTAAAATTCCAACATCTCCTACTTGCACTTGATGGGACTACCATCGTACAAACCCTATCTCTCTTACTTCATACTTAGTGCTCTATTGTGATTGTATGGGCATAACATCCATGATTTGCATGTTTTTACACTAGAAATCCTATGACAGGATCAGCACACAAAGACACCCTATTTTATACTTGCATTGCAGTTATAAATTTCCTAAAACACCACAAATTTACCCATACACATTACTCATGCTATATCTAATCCCTCTCGAGTAAATTATTTAACTCAGATTGCCTTCACATATGCTTAGTACCTGCACTTACAAGTTTTTCTCATAACTTGTAAGGGACATGTTTCAAACACTATCATTATTATATATTTCAAGGTTAATCTTCCTTCAAACTATATGTCAATTAAATGAGACTCAGTTGCTTTCCTAGTACTCAACTTGTTAAGTGGAATCACTTATGATCATAGGGTACGAGCTAAAGTAGCTGTCAGTAAATTAGCCTCTTATGACATTGTCTAAGTCTTAAGGGTACTATACAATGTTT